ATTTGTCCCAGTGATTAAAAAAAAAAAAGATTATAAAATAATCACATTACCACCTGGTACCCAGTGATTATAAAAAAAGAAAAAAAAGAAATGAATAAAATATATATCACTTTACCACACGGTGATTAAAAAAAAAAAAAATTTTTAAAAAAAAAACCTAAACCACTATCACATCTTTTAGCGTTATTAATTCGAATTCGACATAAATATTACCAAACCTCCAGCGTCTAAAACAAACAGTTAGATATCAATCCTGTACGTTGGGGAGCATTATCGTCTTGTTCCTTGGCACACGGAACACCACGTGTAATGGTTGTATATTGTTTTTTGACACAAGGAACACCACGGGTTATTGTTCTGGAGGTCATGGAATTGGTGGAAGTAATTATGTTGCGCGTGTAATAATGTTGTAGTAGAGGAAGGGTCGTGGTGGGTGGTGGGGGTAGGTGCGGTATGTGGTTGTTGCTATAGCTGTTTACTCGATTAGTCTATTAGCTAACTTTTAATTAATTAATTAAATCTATTTACATAGATCCTTTGGTGGACTATCTTACTATCTGAGACATCTTAAACTATCCTTTCACTTTATTCATAAGCTAAGTGATAAACCTTTTCAAAAATTCTAATATTTCTTATGCTTTCATCTATAAGCTTGTTATTGTTTGTGCCGTTGTAGTTACTGTAGCTGATGCTATTGCTGTTTCTGTAACTTCTGTAGCTGTAACTTCTTTTTTTTCTTTTTTCATTTCTCGAAAGATTGATTTAGCTTCTGCTAATGATATACCTTCTATTAATTATATAGCACTCAAAGTGTTATTCTTAAATTTATTTAAAAATGAGTCGTGTATTGATTGTATTTCTTTGAAAGCAGCAGCAAAGTCAATTTTTTTTTTTTTTTTTGCAAATTGAAAGATATGCATATTTATAATGATAAAAAAGGTAATTAAATTCAAGAAAAATTTTTTTTTGGCAACATAACATTCACAAACCCACCCGTAATTTCTTTTATAGGTAAATTACTTCGCTTTTAAATTTACATTCAGTCTTTATCAACGCGTAATACCATAGGTTCATAAACAACTCTTCAGGGAGGGACTGATCGGCAAATTCCATTATGTCGCGTAAAAAAAGTTCTTTTAAAGTTAAGATGATCTAGAAAAATTTGATTGGTGCAAAGGTCGTAACAACAAACAACTGTTTTATGAATTTCCAGAAATTAAATTTTTTTGGGAAGTTGGGAGAAAAGTGTGGTTCTTATAATATAGACTCTTTTTTTTTTCGCTCATGATTCACAAATATCATAACCAAACGTGTAAAAAAAAAAAATAAACATTTCCGCGTAATCTTTATTTGTTCTAATTTTGTAAATACGAGAAGAAAAAAAAATAATAAACAAAATTCGTTCAAGGGTAAAAGAGCCCTTGTATAACTAATAAAAAATTTTACATTTTAGGTGAATTGATTTTCATCCGAATTCGGAGTTTTCTTTAAAGTTCAGCCGATGAAATATTATAGAAAGAAATTTTAATAAACATTGAAACGTCATGATTTACATCATTGATCATCACTATTTCAAAAGACATCTTTCCGATATTAGATTGGGCGAGTTTTGATGATAAAATTTTCACGATAATCAATCATGAAATTACGTTGTAGATAAACATTACATTTACGAGGGTATAAAACATAAATACGAATAGTCAAGAAAACCGTCATTAATGTCATAATGATATATATAGTACCATTTAGTCTTGTTTCTTTTACGTATGCATCATTTATGCGTCAACGGCAAGTCAATTTTTTGTATATAAAGCAAATGAATTTGCAACTCTCTTTGTGAATCAATTTAAAGGAAAAAAAAAAAGATGAACGATCAAGATTATTCAACAAAGGAAGGCGCCGTTAAAGATGAATTCTACATACAAAATATAGAGCACGGAGATGAAGACTATGATCCTAGAAAAGATTATGATGTTAGCGGTTTGTAAAATATTTCTCCCCCTTTAAAGAGGTTGGATGAAATTTGATTATTGACTTTCGAAAATGTTAAAAAGAACCCGTGGACTTGAATCCAAATCAAGTTGATCCACATGAATTACGTGAATCTACAAAGGCTATCGCTCAGACCGAAGGATTTTATGATGAAGGTGGAGATTCAGGTCCTGCTATAACCGATGATTCAGATACTTCAAGAAAATTGTAAGTAACTCACACGAACTCGTCTCTTGTGGAAAATGATTTAAGATTATGACTTTGTGTTTAAATTTATTATAGATCATCGCTTGTTGCGGCCTCTCATCGAGAAGAAAGAAGGCCGGAGGATAAACAAAAAAGTGCGATGAAGGCATCCGAAATGCATGAAAACATCACTGGACATCCCTTGGAAATTAACGATCGTAAGATCTTAATAATATAATTCTTCAATTTTCATGCATAACTTAATAACTTGTATCCTCTTAAAAAATTTAGAAGGGGAAGTAGTCACTGAAACCTGAATAATCTCATGGAGGAGTTGAATTCCTTTCGTGTTGATGATTTCTTCACGTGGTGAAATTTGAATGTCAAAAATTATCAATAAAATTAGTTTATTATATTATTACTCGATTATTCGATTTTTAATAAAAATATACTATTTCGGGCAAAAAAAGCCGATTACTATCGAATATTCAGTTTGTCATGTGTTAATTCATTTTAAATATTTTAACACGTGTATATTTATTTAATTTATTTATGGGAAAAAGGATATACATCAAAATTAAACAAATTTGGAAATGCAATTCAAAATGGTTTTCTAATTTCTATTTATTTCTGTTTTATTTAATTAAGTATAAGATTAAAATAAAAAAGGTAATGTGTGCTTGATAAATGATTTGTCGTTTAAATTTGATATGTATAAGAGAGTGTATAAGTTGACCAATTAAAATCTGTCACGAGAATATCTATTAAGATGAAAGAAAGAAAATATGAAAGATATGTATGAGTATGAAAATAAACATGGAATCAAACATAATGTTTAAAACCGGATATTTTCAAGCGTTATTATATTTTTTGAAGAAAAAAAAAAGTTTAAAGTGGTTTATATGGTATCATTTATACCACTAAAACATACTTCCTGTCGAATTTCTGATTGACGGCAATAAGTTTTACTTGTGTACCGTCTTCAATATTATTCCATGGGGTTGGGTTGTTTTTTCTAAAAGAAAATGATGATTTGATGTCATTTGAGAAAATAAAATAAAATATTTTATACTACGGCAACTTACTTGTCCCAAATGACTTCAGGTCCCCGGGCAAGACGGGTTAGATACCAACTTGCACCAAAAACAGCTACTCCCTATTAACATCATCGAAAACATTTATTAGAGTACTAAATAAAAATGATTTGTCTTCCACGATCAATACATACGGTTACAACATAGATTGGGATGATTTCAGCTCGGAACCAATTTTTCATGAAAGCGTTTCTTGCTGCGGTAGATGCGGCCATTTCGATTAAATGTAGTTGAGTTGGGATTTTGTTTTTTAAAAAAAAAATTGAATTCTACAAGTATTAAAAGGATTTATTATTTTTTTTGAAAAAAATTTTTTTGAACAGAGCGAAAATATCGGATCAATTTAAATAAATTTTACGATACATCGGAAAAATCCGCCGCCAGCGGCAATAAACGGGTGTAAAAAAATTTTTTTTAATTAAATGATGCAAAAAAAAAACCCGGTCGCACTTATTTTCAAACTTTCCTTACCCTTTTCAGAAACCTGTCAGATTTTGTTGACATGCGAATTAGGGATGTAATTATCTTTCCGCATGACACATTAGTAAAAATTATATTAATGTGGTAAATGATTGACCAATCATTCATTATACATATGGCGTTTATACTATGCTTGTCATCGAAAAAAAAAAAAGAAAAAAAAAAAGCTAAAAGCATCACAACCGAAACAACCGAGCATCCATTTTGATGCGGGAACCAATACAACGTACGTGTGTGACGACAAAGTTACCCATTAAGTAAAAGAATATTTTCTTTTGTGGCTTTCAAAGCCTCGGATCAAAACATTTAAATTTAAACAAAAGATTTTTTTTTTTTTTTTTTTTTTTTGATTTTTAAACATCTAAAAATTTTCTTAAATCTTTCATCTAGAATTCTTATAAACAGGTTTCATGAATCATAATCACAATTGGATTTTTCGGCCATCACCACAAATTATATGGCGTACATGGTTTGCGTTGATACATACGTAATAATCTTATTTTTAGAAATGATTTTTAATTGCCGGGTATCACGTGATATAATAATTTTGAGCCCCTAAGCATTTCGACGAATGAAATTCGTGGTGTTACGTAAATATTGTTAGCCATGTTATCGAAATTATGCTAATTTTTAATAAATTTAGTAGGTAAATTTGTTTTCAATTATATTTATTATTAAAGTTAATTAAAATCATTTTTAACATTTTAAAAAATTATTTTATTAAAATATAATTTATAAATTAACCTTTAGAATACTTGTATAAATAATTAATTTCATTTCTAAAATAAAGTTTCTTTAATAAAAAGATGATCTGTATCTAAGATAAATATAAATTAATCTAAAAGTTCTTTCTTTTACTGTAAAGTAATAGATTAATAATAGTATTTTAAATAAAACAATTATTTTGTATTTTTATTTATTATTAAAACATTTTGTAAATTATTTAAAATTATATTTTATAAATTAAGAATACAAATATTTATTAAAGTTATATCTTTAATTATAATATTAATAAGATATAAAAAATAAAAAAAAATATAATATATACAATTAAATACTATATATTCTTATGCTATATCATATATCATTTATTATATATTATATTATAAATTATATAATTACAATTTACATTATTTTTTTAAAAAAATTTATTAAAAAAATTTATATTAAAATTAAAAATTCAATTAAAAGATTCTTATTAAAAAAAATGAATTAATCAATTTTTTGAATTATATTTTAAATTAGAAAATAAAATAATATTATTTTGAATTTTTTCTTTACTTATCATTATATAAATTATTAGTTTGAAATGAAGTGAAGGACTATATATTTTTACACAAAGTGTTCTGATGTTTGTCTGCTTGATTATTAAGTCAACGCAGATTGATTAGTAGTGTGTTATAAATAATTATGTGAAATATACGCATTTGTTGACTTTACTTTAGACTTAACAACAGGTTTCTGTTTCCCTAGTTATTATTAATATCAATATCTTTTAAAACTATAGTACTTCTAAAAAAGTGTAATTAAATTTGAAAGTATAATTAAATTTATATTTAAATTATTAGTGATAAAATTATTAAGTAATTCTTAATTATCGGATTTTAAAGTTATTATGGTGTCAGAAATCTATACTCAATAATAAAATTGTAATACTTAAAATCTTTTAGTACTTTAAAAAAATAAAATTTTAAAAAAATAAACTGATAACTTTATTCTTTAAGATGAGTACTATTAAATTACTGATTAGATTTCTAAAAAAAAATCTAGATAAAAAGTTATAAGCGTTTAAAATTGCATGATTTTTATATGATCAGCCCAAATTTGAAACAATATCAAATTATATGAACATAATTTTATTGGTTAGAACTTACAATAATTCAGGCCAACATTATCATAATTTAACTTCAGCTTGAATTATTACAATTAATTATACTTAGATATTTTTTTTAATTTGATAAATTAATTTTTTTTTAAGCTAATAATCAATTTTTTTTTTACATTTAGATTTGAAAACTGATCATACTCTTGAAATAATATGTAAAACAAATAGGCAAAAGCAAGTTGGCAAAATTCTTAGAAAAAAAGATGCTATATATCTCAAAATCAAATTATTATAGAAGAAACTATTATGAAAGAAGTAGAGACTGTTAAAAAAGATGAAGAATGAATAGAAGATGAAGTTATTATTAAATTAACAGAAGGACATAAGACTGTTAAAGAGAAGACTTAAGAGAATTTGAGAAAGTAGGAAAGAAGCTTATTACCAAAACTCTTTATTGATAGGAGAATGCTACTAATAGCATTAGAGTAGCATATATTGAAAATTTGAGAACCACAATCTGGAGAAAAAAATAAAAAAAGAGGAGTTAAAAGAAGTTGTAAAAAAAATGAGAACACTTGATATATTTTTTAAAGGTTTCAAAAAAGCATCTGAAAAAGTATCCTCATCACGTCTGATTTCAGAAAGTTCTTTGCTTTTGTTACCATCACAACCATTCCTAGAAATTACACAAGATTCTTTATTTTTTACTAATAATCTACATATATGTTAGAAGAAATAAATAAACAATATTTATTATTAAAATCTGTAAAAGAAAATGAAAAATCTTATCTATGATTATTTACGTTGATTAAACATATACAGGTTTATTTAGCTGTTATTAAATAGACAAGGTAAAATGGATGCTAGCAATAATATTACACAAATCATGTGAAATAAAGATGATTATATAACGAGATGTATTCAGAAATGGGAAGCTTACTTTATAAAAATAGGAGAACTTCTTGCTTATTGTTAAAGGAAACATTTAAAATTAGAAAGTTTGTTAGATGATGAGGATTTTAAGGAAGAATACCAAATATAGTTATAGCAATAAATACCTGAATCATATTTTCTTAAAAACCTAAAAATATATATTGAGAAAATAATATTTCTAAAATTGACAGAATATATAAAAAAAGACACAGTTTCTGAAAAAATTTGCTGAAGTTATATGCATATATGAGGATATAAATATGATGAGAAAAAAGGAGTTATTATGATAGGCATAAGCAACTGGATGTAGTAATATATAGAAAAAAATGGTTAAAGAGAATGTTTGAATATAAGAAATCTCTAAAAGATTTTGATAGCAATATGTTAGATATTGTTTTAAAATCACAGCTTAAGCTAGAAAAAAAGGAAATAGTATAAGTAACATATAATAAGTATCATTTTTATATAAATGATAGGCAACAGAAAATCTGAATAAGAGATGATAAGGATATTCTATGCTTAAAACACATTAAACACTCTATTATAGTTTCAGCTTTTCTTTATTCATATCACAAATTATTATGATTATCTAATGAATAGTTATAAGCAAATTCATATATCAAAGATAAAGAAGCTTTTGTTCTTCAATTCATACAAGCGGACAAATATTGGAAATCAGAATATATGTTATATCAGATTCAGGTTTTCTTATCCATTTACCTAGAATAAAATGTGTAAAATCTTTTTTTAAAAAAATCCTTTTAATTACAAATATAGCTTATACATCAAGCAATTCTAATATTTGAGATATTGCATTTAAGATATATTGGAATTTTTTGTTTTGATCAATCAACAAACTATAATGCTATAACAGTTGATGCACTTATCACAACAAGAATGAATTTGGATTCTAAAGGAGTGTAGCCTAAGATACGTGATGATTGATATATTAATAAAAATGGTAAGAAATATATTCAATTAATGATATTTTCAGATAATCACCAATTATAAGGATAATCAAAGGGTATTAAGTAAGTACTCAAGGAATGTAACCTTTGGCTAACAAAAGGAATTTGTTTGACATGTAAACAATGTTCTAAAAAATATGATAAAGTTAATCTAGAAAGATCAGACTGTTATGCACGAAGAATAATGTCATTACAACCTGACTTTTGTGAACAATGATCGATATTAGAAGAAGCAATAACTAAAAGTAGGATATATTTTTAAATAATACTTGAAATTTCATTGTGAATGCAACTTTATAGAATAATATTAGAGCTTTGCAAAATGAGAGACCAGAAGGTTATACAGTTATAATTTTGCAGATTTACTAAAATAGATTCTGAAAGTCCTTATTAGTATTTCTATAACAACTATTCGTAAGTTTACACGTAAGTTATAGAGGTATATGGATACATATGACAAAGGGTTGAAGAGTAAAACTGCTGAGTGGGTTGTTAATAAATATAAATTATACTATCAATTACCTAAAAATATTGAAAGATTAATGGATTAATATATATAGTAGTTATATAATCCTGTAGGACAATTTCTTTACCATCATAAATTGTAAATTGTTTAATTCAAATATTAAATACAAGCTTATACATTGCTTTGTTTATATTTCCCGTTAGAAGTTAGTTTGAATAAGACCTTAGAATATATGACACGTCAAACTACATGTTTAAATTCTTTATTTTGCATTTATATAGTTTTTTGTTATACAAATATTCTCAGTTTTTATTGGTTTATTAAATGTCACGTAATATGAGATCGCTGACAAAAAATTGAAACAAAATCACATAATTGTCAAGTATAGATTTCTGGCATCATATTATTTTTAAAAATAAATCATTTACTATTTCTTTTAATTTATTATTTATTAATTTCTTATTATAATATAAAAATTTAAATTTGATATTAACAAAATAATATATATTTTTAAGTTTTGTATTATTAATTTAGTTCTTTAAT